ATATTATTATATATTATTATATATTATTATATATTATTATATATTATTATATATATATTAATTAATATATAATTAAAATATATCAATATATATAATTCAAATTTTAAAAAGAAATATTTATAATTAAAAATTATAATTACATTATAATTTATTACACAATATTATATAATGTTGTTATACAAAGAGATCTCGAATTATATATTATATTTTGTGATAAAACTTTATTATATTATCTTATTAATAGTAGTAATTTCATTATTATAGTTAAAAAAAAATTTAATATATGCAAATCTAAAATTATAATATACTAATTTGTTATTTTTAATATATATAATAATAATTTATCTAGCAATGATATTTTGTTGAAAAAAATATTGCAAAATGTTATCTTATTATATTATTTTTGATGTTGGTATTATAAACGAATACATAAAGTTTTCATTTTACTGTTATATATGTTGGCAACCTGGAAAAATTATTCCAGCAAAATTCGCTGTTTAACCAAATTTAATGGACGTGAGTACGAACGTGAATTGAATAGAACAAACGTAGAAATTTGAAAGGCTGTGTTATATTAAAAATTTTTCTAATAGCTTACAACGAAAATGAGTGAACTTGTGTGGGGAATAAAAAATGGTGATTTGGAGCAAGTGCGAGATATCGTTGAAAACAAGGCAAATATATGAAATGTTAAATCATCTTTTTCTTCTGTTGCTTTTTGATTACCGCTAATCAGAAACGTCATAAAAATATCTTTCTTGGAGTTTAATATTATATTCTTCGATTTTTTTATAATTTAAAACACAGGAAAAGATTCTTATTAGCCGATTAAACTAATGATTGTAAAAATCATTTATATTTCTTTTTTAAATTCAATATATTCTTTCTTTTAAAAGTGAATATATATTAATTCCTTTAAATATATTTCTGTTGATAGAATATTGATGTTAATCAAATGATTGATGGAAGGACACCCCTACATTATGCAGCTGATTATGGTCAAAGTGAAGTAGTCAGATATCTTTTGGAAAAGGGTGCAAATGCAAATGTAAATGTTATTAATATTAAATGAATATATAAAAGTGAAAATATATTATTAAAAGAATTTTTTTTAATAAATTTTTTAAATTTGCTTTAAATATAAAAAATATGTAGAAAATATGTAGAAAATTTATATAGTGATTTAAATAAAATATTCTTACAGGCTACAGACAAGCATGGAATAACAACATTATTGGCAGCAATTTGGGAAGGACATACAAATTGTGTAAAATTACTATTAGAAAAGGGAGCTAAACCAGATGGATTAACACCAGATGGAACTAGTTATTTGGATGCTGCTGAAAAAGATGAGATCAAACAATTGCTTAAATTTCACTAGCACAAAGCCAAACAAATCGTAAAGCAATAATTTTGTTATTTTAGTATTTTAATGTTCCTCATAGGAGTATCACTATTGCTTTCTCTTAATTTTTTGCATATGACTAGACTATCATATTTATGCACTTTAAATTAAAAACAAAAAATATAGGTACACAAATGTAGTTTTATAATAATATATTGCACTTGGAGCGTATAATCATAAACTCATATTCTTATATGATTACTCTTAGAGATTTAAAGTATATATAGTTTCAGCTTTAAAATAGTATATTATACAGATTGTTTTATAAACTAACAATAGAAACAAATTTATTTTTAAAGCATGTAACATTATATAGCAAAAAATATTTTGATACATTTGTAAGAAGCAGCATCGTGTTTTAAATATTTGTTATTAATTTACAAATCAAATTTTTTTTATACATTTTTTTACAACTACTTATTAAAACAACTTTTTGTGAGAAAAAGTTGTATGTATTGAAATGAATGCTCGAGATGAAAAATATATTATATAATTTAATTGTGTTTCAAGAAAGACATGTATAAATTATAAAAAAAAAATTAAAGAGCTATCTTTATGATATTAATTACATGTCTTAAGAAGTTTTAAAAGTGTATAATAATCAAAAATAATAAGCCAATGCATCATTGTTATGTATATTGTTGTATTTCATTAAACCCATATTTATCACTTATT